GTGATGAGGCCATGGTGAGGAGTGACGAGGTCATGGCGAGGAGTGACGAGGTCATGGTGAGGAGTGACGAGGTCATGGTGAGGAGTGACGAGGTCATGGTGATGTCATGGTGGGGAATGGTTATGTCATGGTGAGGAGTGATGAGGTCATGGTGATGTCATGGTGATGTCATGGTGAGGAGTGATGAGGTCATGGTGATGAGTGATGAGGTCATGGTGATGTCATGGTGAGGAGTGACGAGGTCATGGTGATGTCATGGTGAGGAGTGACGAGGTCATGGTGATGTCATGGTGATGTCATGGTGAGGAGTGATGAGGCCATGGTGAGCAGTGACGAGGTCATGGCGAGGAGTGACGAGGTCATGGTGAGGAGTGACGAGGTCATGGTGATGTCATGGTGATGTCATGGTGAGGAGTGATGAGGTCATGGTGATGAGTGATGAGGTCATGGTGATGCCATGGTGAGGAGTGATGAGGTCATGGTGAGGAGTGATGAGGTCATGGTGATGTCATGGTGAGGAGTGATGAGGTCATGGTGAGGATTCCAGTATGAGGATTAGGATGAGAAACTGAATCCTGAACTGGGAGACCCAGTTGGATGTTTAAGGGGCGGGAACTTTAGGGACAGAGACATTATTGGAGGTTTGATTCGGTGAAAAACAAAGAAGAGCTGTGCAAAAGTCTTGGGTCTTCAAGGCCTGGATATCCATCCAACCATCCATCCATCCGTTTGTCCATCTATTCATCTGTCTGTCAATACATCCATCAGTCATCTATCCATCCTGTATTCACCCATCAGCCTTCCATCCATCCATCCATCCATCCATCCATCCATCCATCCATCCATCCATCCATCCATCAACTTTGGGATTTTGTATCTGAAAATCACAAAGTTTTGGGATTCCAAACTTTTATCTGAAAATCACAGTGAATTATCTTCCATCATCCCACATTTCTTTGTTTGTTATCAAACAGCCAGGCTCTCTTTCATGCTGTTTGTTGTGGTCTTGATTAGAGCTATAAATAGTTCAGAAGA